GCACAACCAAAGCCTCACAATTACGACCCGCACCTGCACTACGACAGCCGTGTGCCTCACTACAACGAGCAGTGGCCCCCTTACGACCAGCAGCAGACTTCACCCCAACCGCCACCAGTGTCCGGCTACCCTCAGGGCCACCAGCCTCCTCCTCCCCCCCAACTGGGGTACGAACCTCGCTCTCCATACGAGGATGGCCCAACCAGGGATTTCAGCCCCCCTCAGTCCCAATACGATGGCGTGTCACCAATGAACTACGATAACCGGCCGCGGCACGCTAAACCCGCCACGGCGCGCTACGAAGAACCGCCCCCTCCAGTCTCCTACGACGCCCGCTCTCCCTTTGAGTCCGATCCACATGGTTTCCCAGGCAATGCGCTTCGCTCCCCTGATCCGCCCAAGCAGTATTATGGTGATGCTGCAATGAGACCCTCGTACAACCCTGGAGCGCCGAACCGAACGTATAAACCAGCGCCACACGAGCCTGTGATGAACTCTGAACCTCCTGCTCCGCCTCCCAAACCTGAGGCCGTCTTGTCTTCAGGAGAGCCGGCTCACCCTGCAGCTCCCAAACCATTGCCGCCTCCCCCCAGGGATGATGATGATGATGATGATGATGATGAAGACCCTGCCATGAAGCCCCAGTCTGTGCTCAACAGGGTAAAAATGTTTGAGAACAAGCGCTCCATGTCCGTAGACCGAGCCAAGGATACGCCGGAAGTAGCGGGAATCAGGGTATATTTCTGTCCGCTTGATACTGAACCTAGACTTTTCCATTGAGGGCTTTGTTGTTAATGGTTTTATTTGCATCCACATAACAATTTAATATTTTAGTGTCGACTTTTGCACAGAGAAGAAGGACTTCAGAAAATGTATAAATCTAGTTTGTGTATGTGAACGTGTGATGACAGAATGGATGTACTTTCTTCTTCAGCCCACAGATCTCCCAAAACCTGTGAGCACACCGGATCCTGTGCTTAAAGCCAACTCTCTCAGCAACCTAGAGCAGGAGAAACCCTCTTACAGGTACAACCACATGCTTACAGTACCGTTCAAAAGTTTGGGGTTGGTAAGATTTTTTTTTTCCTCAAAAACTGTTTTCAAAAGTTTCTTATGCTCACCAAGGCTGCATTTATTTGATCAAAAATACAATAATAAAGTAAAATTGTTAAATATTATTGCAGTTTAAAACAACAGTTTTCAATTTTAATATGTAATTTATTTGTGATGCAAAGCTGAATTTTCAGCATCATTACTCCAGTCTTCAGTGTCACATGATCCTTCAGAAATCATTCTAATTTACTGATTTGATGGTCAAGAAACATTATTATCATTATTGAAACAGGGTTATTATAGTTAAATAAAACTAAAACCATAAAAACAGTTTCATTACTTGAAATAAAATAAATGTTAAAATGTAAAATATATATATTAAAAAAAAAAACTTTATTTCAGTTAGTTGACAAGGCAGCATTTCTCAGTTTAATTTGGTTTATCTTGATCAGAGCATGTGAGCGGTGTGACGCTCCGCTATGTTTTCCCCTCTATGGACGTGTGCTCCACTCAGTCGCTCTAACCGCCCAAGCAAGCGCTCCGTTAATATTCCGCTCACACTCGCCGTAAACCAATTCCCGCTCAGATCCCGCTCCGTTCTGTAAAGAACAAATTTGCGTGCGTTATATTAGATTATAAATTACTGTTGCCTATATCTAGCCTACATTCTGTAGGTCTACCTATTGGTTTCGGGTCAGGTGTTTTTTTTTATTTATTATGGTATGTAACTAGCTCACCTTTTGCTGCACCATGTTTGCGTAGCACATCCTCGTGCTTTCTGTAATCAATATGAATCTGTACTAACTTTAACAGTCTCCCCGCACTCCCTCTCAGTTTCTTCTCTCTGCTCGTTCTTAACTTTGATTTTTACTTTACATTTATGTATAAGGCTTGCAACTTCGTTGAAACAATATCTGAACTCCATAACTGCTCTACTATTCTGGATCTCTACAGATTCTCGATCTCGAACAAGCAAATCACCAAACGGCATTCTGGGTTGAGCGAGCGGCGCTGAGCGTATTGAGCGAGCGGAGCGGAATCTTCAGAAAGGCGCTCTGCGCTCTTAAGGAAATATTACCACTCTGCTCCGCTCACATGCTCTGATCTTGATATACTAAAATTGACTAAAACTGAAAAAAAAAACTATATAGATATTTCAAAACAACAACCAAAAAAATTACAAAAACACAACAAAATTTCTTAAAATTTAACTCAAATTAAAATGAAAACAAAATATACAATTCAATTTAAAATCTTAACAAAAACTGTAATAGTATTTCAATGATAAAAATATTTTGTCATTATAAATCTTTACTGTCACTTTTGATCATTTTAATGTGATCTTGCTGAGTAAAAGTATTCATTTCTTTAAAAAAAAAAATCGTACTGCCCCCAAACTTTTGAGCATTATTATATACAGTATGTACACCTACAACTGTCAACCAAGCAACAAAATTTCTTAAAATTTAACTCAAATTAAAATGAAAACAAAATATACAATTCAATTTAAAATCTTAACAAAAACTGTAATAGTATTTCAATGATAAAAATATTTTGTCATTATAAATCTTTACTGTCACTTTTGATCATTTTAATGTGATCTTGCTGAGTAAAAGTATTCATTTCTTTAAAAAAAAAAATCGTACTGCCCCCAAACTTTTGAGCATTATTATATACAGTATGTACACCTACAACTGTCAACCAAGCCCTTATTTAAAGGGGTCATATGATGCGATTTCAAGTTTTCCTTTCTCTTTGGAGTGTTACAAGCTGATTGTGCATAGATAAGATCCCTGAAGTTGCAAAGACTAAAGTCTCAAAACCAAAGAGATATTCTTCATCAAAGTTAAGACTCTGCCATGCCCCCCTAAAACGGCTCGTTCAAACACGCCTCCACATATCTACCTCACTATGTGGAAATATTTGCATAATGCCGCCCAAATGTGCACGCAAAGAAAGAAGGCGTGGTTTCAGTAACCGCAGTTAGTGTTGATGCAGCATGTCAGGGAGACGCTATGTATTTCTAGGCGAAAGCAGAAGCACTTTATTTGGCCTTCCAAAAGTAGATGCATTTAGGAATCTTTAAGATCACTTACAACAGAACAGCAATGCATTTTATGGACGACCGTTTCGTGAACCTAAGAGAGGAGGTAATTCTGACTTTGCTATGACAATCTGGCGCTTCTGAATCAGCTACTGTTTTGTTGTTAGTTTAAGTATTTGCTATTGACTGTTCAAATGCGGAGTTTTGCGCATTGTGTGTGTGTGTGTGCGTGCGTGCGTGCATGCGAGGGAGAGGGCGAGAGTGAGAGAGAGAGAGAGAGAGAGGGGGGGTCACGTCACAGTGAAGTCAGCTGTCTTAACCGTGGCTCGTGTACTGCAAACACATACCAGCTTCATCACTGTGTATGTCACGCAACTCTGTTCACCTTTCGGGCTCTGTCTTTACATTTATTTTGAAAGATGAAGCTCACGATTATGGTAAGGGGCATTACATTTCCGACGAGTGCTTGCGGTGTTCGGCCAATCACAATGCACTGGGTCAGCTGGCCAATCAGAGCAGACTGCGCTTGTCGGAAGGAGGGACTTTGTAGAAAACGAAGCGTTTGAGAGAGGCGGGGCATAGAGGACCTACAATAATGTACAGTATTTGAAAAAGAATGTGGTTTTTTAAAATTAAAGAATGTCAACATATTCTGTTTCACCAAATACACAAAATAATGATCTTTAAAAAAGCATCATATGACCCCTTTAAAACAAAAGGATCTGAATTGACTGGAAAAGTCATGGGAAATCATTAGCCAGAGAGCATGTGAACTGTGGAGTAAACCAGAAGTAATATCAAGTATTTGATTGGATTGTCTTAAGTTACCACATTCTTATGTATTGGAAGTGCAAAATAACTGTATGTTTTATTGTTCACATGATTAATTTCAAATTGCATTCTGTTTCACTCTATTTTTACACCGTAGTGGTTAGCATACAGTATGTGTTGTTAGTGGAGAATGTTAATGCAATCCAATAGTACCCTCTGCTGGTTGATCTTCCATTCTGGACAGTACCATTAGATCTTACATAATACAGTTAAAATCTTTCCTTTTGATGATTTTCATCGTCTCCTAGAGCCCCAGAGCCCCAGAAAGCTCAGCCGCGTGCAGGGGACGACGTGGTGCGCTCCAACCACTATGACCCAGACGAAGATGAAGACTATTACAGGAAGCAGTTGTCGTATTTTGACCGCCGCAGCTTTGACAACAAGGCCATGAATCAGCCCAACACTGTAATCAATCGCTTCCATGAGCCGCCCAAACCGTCTCAGCCCCAGATCGCATATCCTTTTGCCAGGTACCGTCTAACTCGCTAAACAGACAGTGTTTACTCTTGTATGTTGACGGGACTCTTGTACATATCATACACACTCATGCACACACTTTCTGCTTCAGGACAGAGTCTGTGGAGAAGGTGAGTCCTGTCGACAAGAGGTACGAACCCCTGCTGCCTGTCAACCCGTCACCTGCTCCATACAGCCAGCCCACACCTGCTGCTCCACCCACATCCCTGCCCAAACTCCGCAACATCGAGGGTAAGAATGAGTCTTGTGTGTTCAACTATGGTACTTTCGGCCAATTTCAGAAAATATGAATTTTTTTTACACACTAGTTTAATTCGTCCACTAATAATGTCCAACAGTTTTTATACAAACATCACAGGAGAATTTTGCCTTTTTTTCATACAGTCATAAGTATTTCCACCACAGTGACTTTTCAGTTACATCTCAAATGATGTATTGTGTTTGAGAGCTTTCAGTTTTGGAAATTGCATTTTAAACATTTTGGGAATACGATGCCTGACTCAATGCCTGATTTCATAGTTAGCATTTTATTTATCCTAAATACACATAAATAACATTTTCACACTTATTGCATAATTTTACAAAATTGCAAAATGACTGAAAAGTCTGCAGTGCAAAATACTTTTGTCTGTTTGCGAAACCCAGTACACAAGCTTAAAAGGCGTTACTACTAATTATTAGGAAATGCTTAATTGTTTTAAATTATAGATTATTTTTACACCGTAAATAAATGAAATAAAACTTAAGCTTTTTGGAATAAAATACCTGCCACCTTTGGATCCGAAATACACAATAATATTTCCACACTTACTGGATAATTTTACAAAATAAAAAAACACTAATAATTATAACTTTTTTTTTTTATAGATTAATTTTACACCATAAATGATGCAATTAAACATTTTTGGAATAAAATGCCCAACTCCCTTTTTAAGGTTAATAATAGCTAGCATTTTATGTATCCTGAATGCACACAAATAACTTTTTCATACATAATTGTGCAAAATTTTACAAAATTACAGAATGACTAAAAATAATGCATTATAAAATTCTGTAGTCTGTTCTATAGTCTACTTTTTTTCATTTTAGATTATAGATTAATTTTACAACCTAAATAATGAAATGGAATATTTGAAACATTTTTGGACAAAATGGCCAACTAAATACACACAAATAATATTTTCACACTTATTGCATCATTTAAAATAATAATAATAAAAATACAGAATGTCTAAAAATAATACACAATAAAGTAATCAAGTGCATAAGCTTTAACTATTAATTATTAAAAACTACTTTTAAAAAAATTAAGATTAATTTCACACCATAAATAATTAAATCATTTATTACAAAAAAAGCTAAGGAAACTATGAAAATAATAATTCCTATGTAGCTCCTAAATAGTAATATTTCCTAAGGATTTGGGAGTTTTTGAGTCTAGATCAAATGATAAAATCTATGCTTAGAAAACATTTAAAAACTAGCAAATAAAATCAAGATAAAGTTTAAATGTGACTTCTATATGAGAAATTATAAGAAATGTATTTAAGTCTCCAAAGTTGATGAACCACAGCTCTTGCATGGTGTATGGCCATATTGTCTATATTGTTATATTGCCAGAATTTCAGAAATCAGTGGTAATACTAATGAAATCGCATGATTTTGATACCACATCAAAAAGCGAATGCATTGTTTAAATGCATCACCCCTCTCCCTGATCTCCCAGAGAACTCGCTGCCAGATCCTCACAGCTCTCCCAAAGCCAAACCGGATCTGTCGGCTCTCAGAGCTCCCACCCGGGATGACCCCATCCAGACCAGCTACCTGCCCCCCAAGTCTTCTATCAACGGCACGGACGCCCCTCCCAAGACACTAGGCGTCCCTACCAGCTACAACCGCTACGTCCCCAAGCCTTACACCAGCTCCGCCCGACCCTTCGAGCGCAAGTTCGAGAGCCCCAAATTCAACCACAACCTGCTTCCCAACGACATCCAGTCCAAACCCAGTGTGAACAACAACCTGAAACCTCAAATCTCGCCCCAGCCCCTGGACACCGACAGCGGGGTCGACACTTTCACGCGCACCATGGACAACAGGCCCAAATATCAGCACAACAACATCAACGCCCTTCCCAAGGCCGTTCCCGTCAGGTAAGATGATGAAAGAACATCAGCCAGAGCTGGATTCATTCCTTCTGTTTACTAAACGACTCCCTGCTGTCTGCTTTCTAGCCCCAGTGCGCTGGATGACGATGAGGAAGATGAGGGTCACACGGTGGTTGCCACGGCGCGGGGCATCTTTAATTGTAACGGTGGCGTGTTGAGCTCCATTGAGACAGGAGTCAGTATCATTATCCCTCAAGGAGCGATTCCAGATAGCGTGGAGCAGGAGATCTACTTCAAAGTGTGCCGGGACAACAGCATCCTGCCCCCTCTGGACAAAGAGAAAGGTCTGAATCCTGTCTACTTTTGTTTTATTTTTGTTTCAGTATATTTTTAGTTTGTTTGTTGTTCCTTTTCAAACTTAGTAGATTTTGTTAATTTACACTTCACGTGTTAAGAAAAACATGTTTGGACATAAACTACCTTAGTAAAATTTGAAAGACTAAATACAAAAGCAAAGAAAAGCATTGTCTGGTAACCGTATGTTTCGTTTAAGGGCTTTTCACATCAAATTTAGTGCACATCGGGGAAAAAAGTGCACAAAAGCAGAATTTTTGTCATTCTCTAGTGAGAAAAAAAACAACTTTTGGATACCTGAATTAATTATTCAGCATACAAACTATTGAAAAACAAACCTGTTTACACAAAATCCAGTGCCACTAAACAACATAGTATAAATAAGTATAAAATATTAACAAGCAATTGTTTCGCTACACTGAACCTGATTTTCATTTCAATGCTTTATGAAAATGGTTCAGATGATTAAGTTGTTCAGCAATTTTTTTTAAAAAGAAATTAATACTTCTATTCACACAGGATGCATTAAATTGATAAAAAGAGACAGGAAAGCCATTTATAATGTTACCAAAAAAAATAGATTTTTGACTTTTATGATTTATCCCAAAAAATATTAAGCAGCACCTCTCTCAACTTTTATAACATTGATGGTAGTAATAAGAAATGTTGAGCAGCAAATATGAATGATTTCTGAAGGATCATGTGACACTGAAGACTGGAGTAATGATGCTGAAAATTCAGCTTTACATTCTGGAATAAATTACATTTTAAAGTAAATTCACATATAAAACTGTTATTTTAAATTGTAATAATGTTTCACAATATTACTGTATTTGTGATCAAATAATGCAGCCTTGGTGAGCATAAGAGACTTCTTTCTAGTATTTTTCGACCCCAAACTTTTGAATGGTAGTGTAGTTTTTGAAGTAATGACACACTGTTACTCCTGATGTTTATTGTAGCCTGTCTGTTCTCTCAGGCGAGACTCTGCTCAGTCCTCTGGTGATGTGCGGCCCTCACGGTCTGAAGTTCCTGAAGCCCGTGGAACTGCGTCTACCACACTGTGCGTCTATGACCCCTGATGGTTGGTCTTTTGCTCTAAAATCCTCCGACTCTTCGTCGGGTACGCTGTCCTTTCTCTCTGTCCTTTGATGGGTCTTTTGGGATCGAGATTGAAGCTGTTTGGAAACAGCTATTCATCTTGTGGTTTCGTTTCATTTTCTGGGTTCTCTGAATTAACATCTCACGCTCAGAGCCTGATCACATGATGCTTTCCCTGAGCGGTCTGTGCGCTTTGCTTTGCTTTGCTTTACCGGTTTATCACCAGTCTCAATTGCAAATGCACTTAATGTCTCTTTAGCTCTTATTCATTCACAGTTAATCCATGTAATATTGTTAAATGTGACTGGAACTGACACACATAATTGGGTTCAGTATGGCCACGTTTGAGGAAGACAACCATGCCATGTATGAATACAGGAGTCACTCCTGATCTTGTGATGGTTAACATGGTAATGTGGCTGTAAATAAGAAATATAGATGCCAACAAATAAACCATTTGCTATTTTTAACATGTTTTTTGTGAACTAAACTGTGTGTACAGAACTGGATTGTTCAAAAGAGGAGTGACTTAAATTTAGCTGCAGTGTGAAAACGGCATGTCTAAACCATAGACTGCATAAAAACATGGACGTAGTGTCCGTGACGTCACCCGTAAGTTCCTGAAGAGCGTTTTTGAAGCTCAAAGTGGGCGGAGCCGGCCGTCCCCATCTTGGCCACGCGTCACTCCCGGATAATCGAAAATGGGTAAAAAGGCGGGAACTGGTTGCTGAAACCACGCCCCCACCTAGCTCGACGGTGGTGACAGCAGTGGCAATCCACCTGTCACTCAAGTGGCCACACCCTTAATTATGCAGAACTTTAAGGCTTAATATAATTTAAACGGATAAGTTATTAAAAAAATTCTCCCCCCTCACAGTTGTCATGAAGGGCAAAATTAGCTATAAAGACCAAAATCATTTTTTAAACCAGGCTGTAAACATGTTTTTTTCTGCTGTAAAGTTGGGCATTTTAACATGGGGAGTCTATGGGATTGACTCCCTTTTGCAGCCAGCCTCTAGTGGCCAGTTGACGAATTACAGTTTAAGTTACTTCCGTGTTGGCTTCACGAGAGAGAGCGGGAGGTTGCTGCTTGGTCTAAACAGTAATTGGCTTCCTCTGGGAAAATGTTAGAATTGACAACCATATTTAATTTCAGTTGCAGGACTGAATCCATTTATTATGCGTGTACGAATACAGGAGTCACTGCTAATCTAAGCGTGGTGATAATGTGGTGTAAATGAAAAATGGATGCCAACAAATTAAGTTTTTACATTTGATATTTGTAACCTTTTTTTTTTCGAGAGTGAATTTGGTTTTCACACCCATTAACAACAGAACTCTGTGTGTGAACAGAACTCGATTAAGTGCTCAAAAGGGGAGTGACAACTGAGTTAAGCTGCAGTGTGAAAAGGGCATGTCCAAACAAAGTTATTCGGTTCAGGGAATCAAATCCATATTTTATTTGCAAAACTGAATCCTACAAATAATTGTTCTGTCTGTATGAATACTCGCAATGGTTGCCATGGTGATAATGTGGTTGTAAATGACATGTGGATGCTAACAAATTAACCTGATTGCTATTTTTGATGAAAGTTTTCCCGAGAGTAAATTAATTTGTCACTCCCCTAATTAATCGAACAGTGTGTATACAGAACAGCAGTAAGCAACCAAAAATGAGCGACAACTGAATTTAGCTGGAGTGTGAACGAGGGCTGCATGATTAATCAAAATAAAACCCAAATCACAAAGGCTGTGATTTTAATTAAATAAAAATATATGTGCTGCATGTTTCCAAGTGAAGTGAAGTGTTCTTTTACCTGTGAGCAAGACAAATTATTATTACTACTACTAATTTTACAGTGTATACTAATTTTTTATTTCTCACTTTGTTTAATACTTCTATTATAATCATAATTTATCAGAAAAATCACAATTAGATTTTTTTTTTTTCACAAATTGTGCAGCCCTAATGTGAATAGAACGATCTGAATTTTTAGATTATGCCGTTGTGTCTATATGACATTCCTCCTGACGTTCCTCCTGTTGAAATATCCACAGGTGACCCCAAATGCTGGCAAAACAAGTGTCTACCAGGAGACCCCAATTACCTGGTGGGCGCCAACTGTGTGTCCGTGCTGATCGACCACTTCTGAAGAGAGCAACAGCTGGTCTGTTACTGAACGTCAGCGCGCATGGACCCTTCTCCAGTTCTTCTACTCAGGAGGAGGGATTTGCACCACTTTATGAAGTATTAATTCTTCCCTCTTTTCTTTGATGGGCTGAAGCGTCGTTCCCCAAAAATATCTTTGAGAATAGCACTGATGGCACAGTGCTATGGAGCGCTCCTTTTCCTATTCCCTTTGGTTTCCTCTTTTTTTTTTCCCCCCCCCCAAGTTTGGTTTTGCCTTTTTCTTTACCTTTTGGTGCTTGAAGACTTGCAAAAAATTACAAATGAAATCAAACTGCTAATGGAATGCATGACCTGTGCCACAACAGTTGGAAAAATGACCCAATTTTTGACATTTGTAGCCTATTTTACTCTAAATAATTAGAAGTCTTGAACGGAATCGGAAAAAAATAAATGGAAAAATGTATTAGTTTTACGTAATACAAGTGAATCCTACTAATGTGCTCCTAAACAGAAAAGTCAATGTAGAGCTTTTTTGTTTGCAAGGTTGTGTGTTTTTCGTGGAACGCTGTAATGAATTGTCGCGGATCTGGAAAGCATGTCGGTTTCTAGAAAATGAAGAACAATTGAGACTTTTTGAAGTGAAGAACTGATTATTGAAGGAATGTGACTGATGCACTCATCTGCTCATGGACTTCCCTCGGCTAAAAAACAAAACAAATACAAAAAAATGGGCTCTTTCTCACTCGTTTTGAACCGATCTTTTCTAGCGATGTTTTATTGTAGATAAACATTGACTGTGGTTTTCCGAAACTCCTGCTGTCTAGAGATCTATGCATGTGCTATGACTCAGGTCCAAACGCCTGCTACTAAGTTGAGTACACAGACCTACCCATCATACACTGCAAACAGTGATGCCTTATCTGCATTTTTTTGTTACTTTGACCCAAAAGACTAGCAAATGTCGAATTTCTGTTACAGAGGGAAGTTACGAAGGACACAAAACTCACACCATAATGAAGCGGGATATTTAGCACACAAATAATGAAGTCTGATCAACAGGTCTGCTTTTTCACTGCTATGCATATGACGATATACAAGAACACTAGGATATGTTTCAATTACAGCTGTATATATTGTGCTAGCATATGGCCTTGGTTCGCTGTAAATGACCTTTTGTACATCTTTGTTATTTTGTATCAAAACGTAACATGGAAAAAAGTTTCTTAACGGAGGGAAAAAAAAGGAAAACTATAACATTGGTTATGTTTGTATTCCAGTTATACTTCTGAGCCTTGGAATTTACCTTAGCAGTACAGAGAAAATTGAAACAAATAAAAAAAAAAAATTAAATGCAACGAAAAAGGACGTTATCTTTTATACCAACAACATATATACAAACACTACGTAATGGCATTTTTAACAGTTACAGAAACTTTTATTACCTTAGCAGTACAGAGAAAATTGAAACAAATAAAAAAAAAAATTTAAATGCAACGAAAAAGGACGTTATCTTTTATACCAACAACATATATACAAACACTACGTAATGGCATTTTTAACAGTTACAGAAACTTTTATTTACAAACTAGAAAAGTGCTCGGTTTAAATAATTTAAGGATTATGTACTTCAGACGGGTCCGTGTTGGTGGTTGGACCCTGACTTTATTTGTGATACTGGATGCTGTATTGTGTGCCCTGAAATGTATTTTTGTACTAATAGACAGTTTATTAAGGCACATCAGTACGAATTTGTTTTGATATGACGACGCAGCTTCATCCTGGGTTTAGTTCTTTGTGTGGCGACATTCTTTTTGTTCTCTTTTTTTTTCTTCTTTGCAGCACATTTCTAAGTATACAACTGTATTAATAAATTCATTTTAAAGTAAAAATTGTTTTTACTCTTTGACAAACGTGGTGTTGGAGAATCTTGACGATTGTGAAATGGAAATGATGTCAATGACCCCTGTGTTGGGTACAGCAGGAAAGTGGTTCATTTGGGTTTGTGGTTTTAGACATGTTTATTTTTGAGCTCAGAGGTTGATGGGAAGGGAGGTCATGAATTTTGTACACTTGCCCTTTCACCTACTTAAAACAGATACTGCAGCTGATTAGAGTCAATCTCTTGACCAGCTGACGCAAGACCATTGAGAAAACCAGCGGCCAGCTTTCTTAAACGCCATTGTGTCAGCAGAAGTTTAGTTCTTTGTGTGGCGACATTCTTTTTGTTCTCTTTTTTTTTCTTCTTTGCAGCACATTTCTAAGTATACAACTGTATTAATAAATTCATTTTAAAGTAAAAATTGTTTTTACTCTTTGACAAACGTGGTGTTGGAGAATCTTGACGATTGTGAAATGGAAATGATGTCAATGACCCCTGTGTTGGGTACAGCAGGAAAGTGGTTCATTTGGGTTTGTGGTTTTAGACATGTTTATTTTTGAGCTCAGAGGTTGATGGGAAGGGAGGTCATGAATTTTGTACACTTGCCCTTTCACCTACTTAAAACAGATACTGCAGCTGATTAGAGTCAGCTGACGCAAGACCATTGAGAAAACCAGCGGCCAGCTTTCTTAAACGCCATTGTGTCAGCGACTTTTCAACCCATAAAGCAGTGGCTCTCAAATGGTTTGTGGCAAGTGGTGACTCGGAACCACAATTATTTTACTAAAGTAAATAATGTCATTCAAATTGACATTTTAAATTAAATTGTCAGATTTAATTTGAGTGACAAATTTGAGCCAAAATACTAGGGCTGGGTAAAAAAAAAAAAAATTCGATATCTCGATTACAATCGATTCTCATTTTACTGAAATATATCGATTCTTAAATCCCAAGAATCGATTAGTCTAGCCTGTTTTCAGTTAATGGATGGAACGTTGAAGGGCACTTCCAATCCAATATATCGCAATAAGCATTGTGCTTTGGTACTTTTAATATGAAACAAAGTCTCAGATTTCAAATTCTGTCCATTGTATTGCAGTATTCAAACAATAAATGCCGTTTTGGCACTGTTTAATGTGGTGTGACAGATCGCTGTAGCGCCTCAGTTCAACAGATGCAGCAGCGCGAGGCGCACGTGAACTAGTAATCTCCTCCATATTAATGCCAGTTTCAGCACAAAATAAACATGACTAAACATCCGAAGGTAAGTTAAAAGAAAGAGTACAACTTTACAATCTGTATCCTGTCTCGTGTAATCGCTCAATCAGTGTTTCAGCTGCACAAAGACGTCAATATAACGGCTTGTAAACAATATCACGTAAAGTCACATTTACCTCAGAAAAAAAAACATATTCGGTGACCATAAACTCAGTCAGAAAAAATAACTGTGGAGAGGAGCATTTTGCTAAATATATGCACCATATAATATATTCATTATAACTTTTACTGTTCTTCAACGAATTGAAGAGGAAATATTATGTAATTGTAACTTTTATTATAAAAACTTCATTAAGTGTAATTTAAGCAGTTGTATAGCCTAAAAAAATCAGTCAGTTTTAACCTGTAATATTATAGTAATGTAGTACCAACTGACTCGTGTAGATTTTACAGCATTAGTTAAGAGATTTTTTTTTCCTTGAGGAAATTTTCCATGTGTACCAGATATATATCCAAAATAATCGATATTGAATCGAATAGAATCTAATCGCAAGCTTGTGAATGAGAATCGAATTGAATCGTGAAATTTGTGTCAAATTCCAGCCCTATAAAAATAAAAACTTCATTAAGTGTAATTTAAGCAGTTGTATAGCCTAAAAAAATCAGTCAGTTTTAACCTGTAATATTATAGTAATGTAGTACCAACTGACTCGTGTAGATTTTACAGCATTAGTTAAGAGATTTTTTTTTTTCCTTGAGGAAATTTTGCATGTGTACCAGATATATATCCAAAATAATCGATATTGAATCGAATAGAATCTAATCGCAAGCTTGTGAATGAGAATCGAATTGAATCGTGAAATTTGTGTCAAATTCCAGCCCTATAAAATACCATAGCATTTGAACATGGCCTTTGAATTTAGCAAAATACACTATGGAAGCCTTAAAAATGATTTTGCTACGATATGCACGGTTGCCGTTTTTTATTTGTATTTCACATTTTCTCTTCTGACCATGACCCAGATGAGAATCACTGCTTTGAGAGTATATTTAGTGTATCACAATCTTATTAGACTCTATTTAACTCTTCTTACAAATTGAGATTATAAATGAACATTATTAAAAGGTTAAGTAATTAGGCACACGTTTACGCACTTCGTAAAGTACTTATGTAAAACAGTTGACTGTATTGGTCTGTAAAGTTTTCAATCATTCACTGCAATCACTTGTTTTCCCTGAGATTAGTGGTTTGTAGATTTCAAAGTTGTACTGTTAGCTTATTCTATGGATTTTTACAGTTTAATGTCCTGCGACATGATCGACTTGTGAATTTCCGGAGAGAGTGGAATGTATTTCTTTTGCGTCAGGTCCAGAAAGTAGAGAGGATCTCGTATTGAGTTTGGGTCAAAGCCCTCCTCCACCAGCTTCACTTTCTTCATCTTGAAAGTTCCTGTGACTTCCAAGGAATTCTGAAAGACAAATTTGCCATCGAAGAGTATCAGAGAGCCAAGCTGACACTAGAAGAGGATGGTGTCTACCAGCAGGATTTACAGAGGTAAGGCATCATTGAGATTAGTGGTTTGTAGATTTCAAAGTTGTACTGTTAGCTTATTCTATGGATTTTTACAGTTTAATGTCCTGCGACATGATCGACTTGTGAATTTCCGGAGAGAGTGGAATGTATTTCTTTTGCGTCAGGTCCAGAAAGTAGAGAGGATCTCGTATTGAGTTTGGGTCAAAGCCCTCCTCCACCAGCTTCACTTTCTTCATCTTGAAAGTTCCTGTGACTTCCAAGGAATTCTGAAAGACAAATTTGCCATCGAAGAGTATCAGAGAGCCAAGCTTACACTAGAAGAGGATGGTGTCTACCAGCAGGATTTACAGAGGTAAGGCATCATACCTGAATTCGGATGAATCGAGGTCTGGCGTACATTGGAAGATAGTTTGCCAAAACACTGCATGTGTTGACGCAGTCAAACTCTCTGCCCTCTTTCAGTTTCACAGCTGCCATTCCAATCCTTCCTTCATGACCTGAAGATACACGAGATTTTAATGTGAAAATCCAATTAACAACATCCTTTTGACTATACAGTATTTCAATGGATGAGAGCTGAGCAATTTAATGTTTTGGTTCCTTAAAAGAGTTCACTCAAAAATGAAAATTCTGTCATCATTTGCTCACTCCAAACCAGTACAAGCTTCTTTCTTTCTGTTGAACACAAAGAAAGATATTTTGAAGAATGTTGGCAACCAAACAGTTTCTAGTCCCCACTGACCTTCATAATATTTTTTTCCATATTATGGAAGTCAATGGGAACCAAAACCATTTGGTTACCAATATTCTTCAAAATACCTGCTTTAAATGTTCAGCAGAAGAAAGAAATTCATACAGGTTTGGAACAACTTGAGGGTGAGTAAATGAGATTTTTCGGTGAACTATTCCTGAATTGATTATATTATCCTATAATAGAATAGAATGGGGGGGGGCTTAACAGCTTATTATTTTTATTTTAATTAAAGTACCATTTATTGTAGAAAAACTTCTACAATAACAAAATTTCTACAAAAGTTCCTTATTTACAAGTAATTGAACTGATTTCAGTCTCAAGCCCTACATCCTGAATGATTTTGGGTTCACTTTTAAAGTAATTTTGTAAGTGTGGCTCGCAAGTCATGAACAGATTTGATCCAATGGGTGAATCGGATTCAAATTACTAGAAATATTCAAATAATACAGTCTTCCTGTAACTCAAACAGTAGATCACGGCACTATCAACGCCAAAGTCATGGGTTCAATCCCCAAGGAAATCAGCAACTTGAATGCATTATTAGGTCGCTTTCGATAAAAGCATCTGCCAAATGAATGTAATGATACTAAAATAAACTGGCTCATGAAGTGAATCATTAATTAATAAAACTACACTGATCAATGCAGACGTTCAGGAACCATCAATGGAATGAATTACACATCATGAAACCCATTCCATTCCCAACCTCTTACATTTCAAATCATGGCTATTTGCAGATATAACATCTACCTTCAACTTTGACTCCATACACATTGGCCTCCTCAATGCAGTCCACCATCATGAGAATATCTGCCACCTCAGTTGTAGCCACATTCTCTCCTTTCCACCTGCAATTAACAAATGTTAATGCAATGCTTGAAACTCTTAAGTGTGCAAATGATGGTTCAGCTAAAGCTCTGCAACCTGAACGTGTCTCCAACTCGATCATGAAAGTAGACAAAGTTGTCGTGGTCGATCCTCAGCAGATCTCCACTGTTGAAATACAGGTCTCCTTTCACAAACACATCACTGAGTCTCTTCTTCACCGTCTGCTGCTTGTTCCCAGCGTAGCCGACAAAAGGGGTGTGTTTTGTGATTTCCCCAACCAGAAGGCCCACCTCATCTACACAACATTAATATCAACAACTGTAGGACTAAAGCTGCACATGCAACATGTTCAGTGTTAAACATTGACCATTTGTTAAAAACATTGTCATAAAAAGTTAATGGGAGTCTTAAAACCTCAAATACTAGCTTAAACAAACACCTCGTACAATCTTTACTGATGCCACATGGCAATAAAATGAAGTATATCATAAAACCCACCAAATTAGCACCTGACTGACCTTTTCCGACTGGGATACACAGACCCTCAGTGTTCCTCACCGGCTCTTCTTTTTCAATGTCAAACTTAATGATGGCAAAGGGGAAAAACACCTGTGGAATACAATGGCAATCAAGCTGACTTTGCACACTAATGCCTTTCTCAATGATAAGAAATATGTATCGTCACTCACCTTGCTGAGAATATTGATACGACCGACCACTCCGACTTTATCGGTGTAATTGATGAAGCCGACATTTCCTTCTGTGGCGGCATAGAGCTCTCGGACATGAATGCGTCCGAAACGGTTTAGGAACTCTTTCCAGACATCAGCTCGTACGCCATTTCCAATGGCAACCCTCACATTGTGGTCTTGGTCATTGTCTTTCTGCAAAGTGAAAACACAACATCCTGGTTTGTGGTTTTGTCTTTGCACTGTCCCAAAGATTTCACAGAACACAGTAGCTCTGTCCACAATCTAGCAGTAGCCCCTCACTGCAGAACACAAGATCCAGGGGGCGTGGTTGGATCCACATCTAGGGGGTGGAGATTGGTAGGTTTAGGGGTGGAGAAAGGTGGGTTAAGGGATCGGGGGGTGGAGATGGGTAGGTTTAGGTATATGTAAGATGGGAGGAGTTGGCCCTGGATCTTGTGTTCTGCAGTGAGGACCATCTCCAATCTAGTGTGCTACCTTATAAGGGAGCATGCTAACAGTCATAAAACCTCACAAGTGACTGAATCGGACCCCTTTCACATAGTTAGGCCACACCAATAGTGCTCCTGTATGCTGGAAGTTCCTATAGTTCAAATTAGGGCTGGGCAAAAATCGATTTTTCGATTAATCGTTTTTTTTAAATGACATCGATTCGATGTCGATTCTCAAAAGCCACGAATCTTATCTTTTCCGGGATTTATTTCCTTATTGTATTTATTTCCTTATTTATTTCCTAAAATTATGCACATTGAATGATATAAAGCTGGAGGATGTTGATTCTGTTTTAGATTGTAATAAACCACATGGATTTTACAATTTATAGATTCTTGTGTTTCCTGAAAGAAAAAAAACTGATTGTATAAAACACTAAATTTGATATTTGGTGTAATTCGCTTATGCCATTTTGTATATTACTACTTAGACAAACATAAAAATGAAACATAATTCAGTCAATATGAGGAATAAATATTAAATAAATAAATAAAAATCGAGAATCGAATCGAATCGAGAGCTTGCGAATCGAATCGGGATATCTGAATCGATACCCAGCCCTAGTTCAAATAGTAGAGCATCCTTAGCAACACCAAGGTTATGGGTTCGATTCCCATGGAATGCAAGATCTGATAAAATGCACTATATGCTTTGACTGTAAAGCAAGTTGTTTTTTAAAAAAAAATGCATAAATGTAGGAAACTCCTCCCACACTTGGTTCCAATTGAGTTTCGTGTTAGCATGTTGCTAAGCTAACAGGTGCAGTCACCGTTGTTCTGCGAATTTTCACTGGTGAAATCGAGTCATACACAAATACTGAATGAAATGTTCAACTTTAAGTGTTATGCTTTCGCAATGCATTCTGGGATTGCCTTCTCAGTAAGTCTTAAGGTGCATTCACATTTACCATTGTTGGGCAACTTTTGCTGAAATCCAGTCGTTTCAATAGGAATCTATAAGGGTGAAATATTTCCCCACACAGATTTCGCAATGGGCTCCAGTTGGTCACACAGATTCAAAGTCTACTTGGTTTGAAAGTGACTTCTGTGTGAGCTGTGCTTCGAAACCTTTGCGAATCATTTGTTTCGAAACAGTGGTTCGAAGCGCATATCAAAATGCCAAAGTCACGTGATTTCAGTAAGCAAGGCTTCGTTACGTCAGAAACGTTTCGAAATTTCAATAGTTCGCCTTAGGGGGGCGATCTCTGTGAACCGGTGAATCATGCGAGTTAACTCGCCCCGCAGCGGCGAATCACTGCAACAGTGTCTATGGTTTTTATACGATCTCAGATCAGTTTGATGAATTTGTAGACATTTTTAATGAGACGTTTGTGTAATTAAAAGGATGAGTAGTAGTTAATAGTCTCTACTGGCCTGTTTATACAAGCTCTCTATAAAACAAACAAAACGAGCACTTGCAAATTAATAATAATTATTTTAAAGATGCATATTATACAGACACTTCATTTTTAATGGTATTTTATTATTTTTATTGCATTTAATATATTATACTTTCAAGAAAGCATTTGCACTGGGTTTGTAAAAGCTGTTTTTATGCATGTTTTAGCTGAGTTTTGACCAGCAGGCATCACCAGCATGTGGTGTTTCGAGCGCTTCGAAACAGTGAATCGAATTGATTCGAAGCTTTGAAATGGATCGTTTCTCCCATCACTATTCTACACTAGCGACAATGAACCTTTTTTGCCCACAAAATGTAGCTGAAATTTCGGTAATACAGTATGACTGCACTTAAGGCAGTATAATTTTGCTGCCTTCATAACAGAAGTCTAGGCAGCTAACTAGGTTTTGGTACAGAGCTAATGACAGTTCAAGCCCCTAAAAACTAATTATAAAGAGAAATATCTCCACACTTGTAAAACATATGGACTTTTACCTTTGGCATATTGCAGAGGTAGCGCAGTGTTTCACCAATGTACTGCATCACAGTTATGTTGTACTTCCTACAGTCATCCCAGAACTGAGAGGCAGAAAACTTTCTCCGCAGAACCACAGTGTTTCCTGGAGAAAATATTAAAATGTAAGCAGCACTATATAAAACCACCAGACAAGAATTTCTAAATAGAAAAAGTAGCGTACAATATAATCCATTATACCTCTTTCAATGGATCCAACAAGTCCGATGAGGAACCCGGCGCTGTGATACAGAGGCAGATTGATGTAGAATATGTCTTTAGACGTCACTCCACACACACCCTGGATGAACGACGAAGCCCAGACTCTCTCATGGGTCACATACGCTGCTTTAGGAAGACCTCCATAGACCAAAATACCAATGTTATTTAGGGATCCATATTATATTCATACAGAAAAAAACAGTAATATTGTGGAATATTATTAGAATTTAAAGTAACAGTGTTCTATTTTAATATACTTTAAAATATAATTTATTGCTATGATCAAAACTAAATGTTCAGCATCATTACTCCAGTCCTTCAGAAATCATTCTAATATACTGATTTATCATCAATGTTAGAAACAGTTGTGCTGCTTCATATTTTTTTGGAACCCGTGATACTTTTTTCAGGATTCTTTGATGAATAAAAAGTTAAAAAGAACAGCATTTATTCAAAATAGAAATTTTGTAACAATATACACTACCGTTCAAAAGTTTGGGGTCAGCAAACCTTTTTTCTTTTTCTTTTTTTTTTTATTAATACTTTTATTCAGCAAGGATGTGTAAAATTGATAAAAAGTTACAGTAAAGACTTATATTGTTACAAAAGGTTTCTATTTTGAATAAATGCTGTTCTTTTTAACTTTTTATTCATCAAAGAATCCTGAAAAAAGTATCACAGGTTCCATATATAGTATATTAAAATAGAACAGTGTTATTTTAAATTGTAATAATATTTCACGATATTACTGTTTTTTTCTGTATTTTTGATCAAATAAATGCAACCTTGATGAGCATAAGTGTCTTCTTTAAAAAGCAGGCTAATAAAAATCTTACTGATCCCAAACTTTTGAACGGCAGTGTATATTTAGCATTAGCAGTATTGGTCTGCTTTGATATGCTATTCAATGTAATATAACAATAAACTTTACATAATCCACTAAATGTGGCCTTGTCAGATACCTGTAGTGCCAGAAGTGTAGATATACAGTGCTGTAGTCCTGATATGGATGTTGGACCTGAGAGACGGGGACAGCGGCTTATCTGAAGCTTTGGCAATGGCTTGACCGATACACTGAATGCCGTCTGTAGTGCACTCATCTGACAGGAGGTATACAGTTATCCCCTTCTCTTTCAGTGCCGGCAATATCTCCTCAACAGCATCACGAAGCTCTGCGAGAGTAACACTTCACTGCAAAACTCTCCAGAAACTGACACACATGAAAGACTCTGAAACATGTCAACCCTATGAATTATCGTAATCACCATAATTCAGAGGGTTGACATGTTTCAGAGTCTGATTTTCAATATGATATCTGATTTCAACCAAATCTCTGTTAACATTAACAAAAACAGTTTCTGATATCAGGCCTGTTTTGACATGCACAGCACGTGCTTGAGTCCTCTAGGCCAGTGTTTCTCAAACCTTTGTCTTATGTACCCCTTAAACCCATAAGTGGGGCTCAAGTACTGCTTCATTATGTGCTCATTTTCTCATATTATCCACCGGATAATATTTTCAACTCGGAAGTTAGCTATTTCCTATGAATATGCTAGATTTATAGGTAAATAACTAGAGGATTAACAAAGTGCAGTAAATGGTAAAGCTATTTTAGGCTACAAACCTCTGTTTACGGTAATGTATTATTAAAGTATTATTAAATGTAAAAGATTATGCATACCAGTTTGAAACATCAATAAGCATAACAGACTGTTTTTGTACAGCTAAAATAACTGGAAGTGACTGATACCGGAAGCCTCGCACATTAATGGCCGCACACACGCTAAAATAAGGCAGATAATGGATACCAGTTACCGATATTACGATTTATTTAATAAGTTATTTTTGCGAGGGGGGAGTGGGAAAGAGGCAAACTGCCTGGAAGTTCTGCCTTCTGATTGGTTAAAGCAGCGCTTCAGCAGCACGAAAATCAACAATTAAGCGAAACACCTGGGGCCGGTTTCAATAAGGAGGTTCAACCAAAGTCCCTTTAAGACAAGTCATTTCACTCGACGGCCATCTTTGAAATGCCTCTCTGGGATGCAAGTGCAGCTACTATCTCGTTACGAGTGACATGTCGTGGGTATTCTATAGTCTTTGGTTCAACCAACTCAGAGTTGACTAATCCTGAGATGGGAAACTCTTGAGTTCTTGGGTTCAGAACAGCTAAACTGAGTTAGTTCAATCGACTCGGAGTAGGTTGATTCTGAGTTTAGTGCATGCACCACAACTATGAAAAGCCATGATCAATCCACCTTTTTCTTGCTGTAAAAATGGGCACGGCCATTTGTAAACTCTGTGGGTCTAGCTTCCGGTCTCATCCGCGTCCAGCTGTTTTTAGCTGTTCAGAACCGCTCCTTTTGCTGCTTGATATTGAAAATTGATGTGTCTTACCATATTATTTTAATGTATTATCTTAATTATGAACACACTGGTTTGTAGTGCAAACAGTTTTACCGTTTACTGCACGTTGTTATTCTTCTGGTTATTTCCCTACCGCGGCTAATGAACCGGAATCTCGCCCATAGGCTTACTTCCGCGTTGAAGAAAAAGGTGGATAGAGCTCCGAAATTATGATTCACCATGGCAACAGCACCCGACAAAATGATGTCCGCATAATTCACAGTCCGTAACTTAAATTATTTTTAAGCTATTTAACTAATATTAATTTTCATGGTATCCCACAGGCAAAATTAAAAAAGAACAAAAAAAGCAGCCAAACATGAAGTATAATAACATAATTCAGTCAGGTAAAGCTTTAAGCATAAAAGGTTCATGGATGTAAGCTACATGGCTTTACAAACATTTGACATTAAATAAATATCATTCGGTGTCTATTTCAATGTGCAGCAGCTTTTTCCACATAGTCTAATGCTCTTTTCACATAATTAAATGTTCTCTGATCCAAACTGTTGCATTTCTTAATTAGAGTAATGAAATTAACATTTGACTTCTACTCAGCCAACAGCAAGAAGACTCGCAAAATAATAAAATATAAGTATAATAAAAAATATAAGAACAGATGAAGAGGAGATGGCCATAATACCAAGTATTGGAATCCAACAGGAAAAAGAATAACTGTTGCTTTTGTATTTGTAGGAAATAAAGATGACCAAATAAATCTAGCTGTGGTGGTGGTTACGGCGTATATCTCCAGCTACCCTTCCATCTGGCATCCTTCCATTCCATACAGTAATCAGTTTCATTCTGGATGGGTTTGTGCCAAAGAAACTACACAAATATTATATATAAAAAATTTTTTTTAAAAGAGCGTGAGAGCGAGGCACACTTTCCTTACCGCTCTGTCTGCATACAGCGACCTTACTGATGTGCTCTGCATCCACAATGTTATAGAAAAATACCATTTAAAAATGGTACCGTTAAAATAACTCTGCATGTGGATATGGCAAAAAAAAAAATCTAAATAACCCTCTCCCAATGTAAACATAACTCCATGCAGCCTCCTCATCTACAGGATTCAGGATAAAAGGACATGCCGTTTTTGTCGCTTTCACAGTGTTATGCATGTTGCAAATATGTGCTATGAATGAATGTACCAGCGCTGCAAAAAAAGCTTATCTTACTTAGTATTTTTGTCTTGTTGTTTCCAGTCAAAATATCTAAAGATTCTTAAATCAAAATGCATTTTCTACATAAGAAAAATAACATAAGGTATTTAGTCTTTTAAGTGTATTTTTCTTATTTTGCTAATTATCTGCCAATCGGGTAAGAAAAATAATATTGTTTCCATTTGCATTAAGATTATTTTCTTGTTTTCCTAAATGCATCTACTTCTGGAAGGCCAAATAAAGTGCTTTTGCTTTCGCCTAGAAATACATAGCGTCTCCCTGACATGCTGCTTCAATACTAACTGCGGTTACTGAAACCACGCCTTCTTTCTTTGCGTGCACATTTGGGCGGCATTATGCTAATATTTCCACATAGTGAGGTATATATGTGGGGGCGTGTTAGAACAAGCCATTTTAGGGGGGCGTGGCAGAGTCTTAACTTTGATAAAGAATATCTCTTTGGTTTTGAGACTTTAGTCTTTGCAACTTCAGGGATCTTATCTATGCACAATCAGCTTGTAACACTCCAAAGAGAAAGGAAAACTTGAAATCGCATCATATGACCCCTTTAAGAAAACCTGCTCCCGACCTCTCTTATAAGGTATAAGCTACCTCTCTTTCAGAAACGGGCTTGACTTGCCCTGCTTTCTGGGGTTTGACAAACCTCCCATTCTGAAACGGAAAACCCAAAGTTTCCCTCATTTCGGGGTTAACATACTCGGAGTTAACTTTAACCTCCTTTCTGAAACGGGCCTCTGGTCATATATCGCTGCGCGCAGGAACTATATCTTGTGGCGGAAGGATGCCAGTTAATCAATTTACTAAATAACATGCTTTTTTATTATTACATTTTTATATTTTTACCCTCAATATTTTTATATGTAGTAACCTTTTATATAAGAAATAATACAGCCGAAACCCTGATAGATGTAACGAATATAGTCAGTAATAAGCACGCTGCACCTAACAACACCCTTTTTAATAGTGACTATATTCGTAATATAGCCGAATACGACCTCTTCTACTATATTGCGTAAGTGGCTATCTTTTGACAGTCCCACTTTTAAAAGTCATAATTTCTGTTTTACATGTTTAAGAAAGCAAAGTATTTATCAAAAGTAGGCACGCATGTAGAAAATGGTTGGAAATGAGTGCAAAGGCTTCACAGCATGACATTCCGATGCGACAGTAGCTGCTGTTCGTGGATAGTAGCTCTACTGACTGACGGTGTATAGCTAGATCTCACCGGCAGCTGCTAGAAGCACGCTCGCGCCGCAGCAGGAGAAGCAGTGAAGCAGTGATTTGGATCTGATGTTGAAGTTCAGGAGTGCTGCGGGACAGCCGAGCTTAGCCAGGCCGAGCCAGGTCCACACGAAGCGGGGCTCGTTGCCCAGGAACAGCGCGACGGTGTCCCCTTCTCTGAGCCCAGCCTCCGAGCGCAGCGCATTCGCTACTTTGTTACTCTCCTTATCCACCTCCTCATAAGAGTGAGTCTTCCCCTCGAAATGAATGAACTCTTTTCGCGGGTGTTTCTTCACCGCGTCCAAAAAGCAGTCCACAATACTATAGAACGGAGTTTTCCTTTTGTATACAATTAATCGGATCCCGCATCCAAGAGCCCTGTACATATACACGCAGTCCTGGAAAAAATATGGGAAGAAAGTTGTCAGCAGCGCGGGGAGAAGAGCCAAGCCCGCGAGGAGAGTGATCCACACATACATGTTTCCTAGAGTTTGGAAAACACAGGGGTTTTGAGATTAACTATATGCCATAGCCTGACACCGCTTCCAGTCTTAAAATTCATGGGCCACATTCTCGAAATACAAGTTCAGCCCCTTTGGGGCTCCAGAGAGAGATTATTTCATTCTGATCCACCCCCGACTCAAGAGCCTCGTCGGGTTGCCAGATCCTAAATCAAAGCGGTGCCCTGTTTACACACGCTTTTAATATGAATAAAAATAGTTTGAATAGTTCATTCAAATAATGAACTGTGATTTGTGGTTAAGTTGTAGGTTTTTAAAATTAAGGGAAATTATGCTGAATTTGTTTCTGCAGACATTGCTTGTATTTTAATATATTTTGTGTGTACAAATTGCTTGTTGCTAGAATATTTTCATGTTACATCTGGGGCATGTTCAAGCTCAAACCGGTGTGCACCGTTTTGCTACGGTTTCCGGTTTGAACGACATGTTTCCTGGAAACGGTGTGCAACGGGGTTTGAGATGCGTTTTCTCTTGTTTGGTGGGTGTGTAAAACATGTCAGCACAATCAGCAGCAACATGTATGTAAACCACGCGGTATTAAAGAGACAGCTCGCACAATGTAACTAACATCCAAATAAATTCACAATTGCAAGTATATTGTTTGCACGTTTATAAAACGTTTTGCACCGTTTTTGTCGGGGCTGAACGCAGCCCTGGTAAACGTCTGTTAAGAGTATTATCTTCCAATCAAAGATTTTAGATTTGTTGACAATTGTGTTGAGGGGACCAATTAAAATTGTGTTAGTTTCTATGTTGCTACGGTTGTACACTAAACTCAAAACATATTTTGAGCTCCTCGGTTTACAGTAGTTAAGCACTGAGGAGAAAAAAAAAGATTTATTGTGTGTTCATGTTTAATTCCATGCAGTGGCACTAAATAATTATATATTAGTTAGGTCATCATATTATAGAAACGTATTATGTGAGCTGATATTCAAATTATTTAAAGACTTCTTTCGATTTAAACAACTTCTGTGAGAATTTATGGAGCATTTCTTATTAATTTCAATATTTCATGTTCAAATACTCCCCAACTATTGATATTAAACATAATAAAATCAAATATTGTATTAATTAATACTGACAATTACATTTAAAATGTCACAACATTCACTTTTTTTAAAATTATTATTACTTGTAATTACACTTTCCACTCAAATTGTTATAGAAAAAATATATATTTAGTGCAGGAGTATTTTAAACTCACAATATGGCAACCCTCATCCAATTCAGCCTTTGAGACATGAGCAAGTGGGAGGGTTTCTCTGGGAAACAATCATCTTACAGCAAACTCTTAAGAAATGATTTGTTCACTGCAGACTACAGGAGAAAGAGAGTATCAAATTCTTAGAGAGACTTTTCAGACTGACAATCAAGTACTTATAATTTTTTTAATTGTCTTTTTAAACAATATTGCCAAACAATAGTATGATACAAAAAAAAACTTGTGAAAGGATCTTATTTAGAAAATATTTTTTTACACCATAATTTGTTGAACTTACATTTGTCTTTGGTATGGACAATATATATATATATATGCACATACATTTTTTTGTGTTATTTGTGATCTCTGGACAGTTACTATCTTGTAAGTGTAAATTTAAAATCAGGAGTCTGAACAAATAAAAGATCAGATTTTTTCATTATATATTATAACAAAGAATACTGCGCTTCACAATCTGAAGCGACCGTTCAGTATCGACTGATATGCGTCACGTGTCAGAGGTCTGTAGCTTTTCAGCGTCTCATCTAAAACAAACAGAAGGTCCGTGATTACAGCAGGGTTGAAGCCCTCCTCTACCAGCTTCCCTTTCAGCAGTTTGAAGGTGCAAGTCACATCCAAACAATCCTGTAATGAGAAATCCTTTCACTTATTTGAGAAATATGAAAGAGTACATAAATATTTTGATACTACCAAGGGATCATGCATTCAGAAAGAGCATTATGACGTTACCTGAATCCTTATGAAACGTGGTCTGGCATAAGAGGGGAGGTAAGTGGTCACATGACTAAAAATGACTTCGGGCTCAAACTGATGGTCTTTCTTTAGTGTGATGGTAGCCATTCCTGTCCTCCCCTCATACCCTTCAAATAAAAAAAAAAACATCAACAGCGTCACTAATATGGGTGAGAATATCAACTGGATGGTTTAAAGGGATAGTTAACCCAAAAATTAAAGTTTGCTGAAACTCACCCCAAGGCCATTCAAGATGTAGATGAGTTTGTTTCCTTATCTGAACCTAGAGATTCTGAGAAATGTAGCATTACATCAGTTGCTCACCAGTGGATCCTCTGCAGTGAATGGGTGCCGTCAGAATGAGAGTCCAAACAGCTGATAAAAACATCACAATAATCCACAAGTAATACTAGTCTATAATCCCTAATAACGCTTCTTCCAGTAAAAAAGTCCATCCACTGTTGTCCTAACATCATAATCCATGCACGTATATGTTTAGATCTGTTTTGGACGGTTTTCACTTGTAAACGGTACTTGATCTGTGCATATTCATCTCCTGATTCAGACAAGACGACTTTTTCACTGGATGAAGCAATATCATGGATAGAGGACTCATAAAAAAGTGTTAATGGATTTGTTTCTTACAAACACGCAGCTTTTTGCTTCACAAGACATTAACTGATGGGCTGGAGTGGTGTGGATTACTTGTGGATTATTGTGATTGTGATGTGGACTCTCATTCTGACGGCACCCATTCACTGCAGAGGATCCACTGATGAACAAGTGATGTAATGCTACATTTCTCCAAATCTGTTCCCACGAAGAATCAAACTCATCTACATCTTGGATGTTCTGAGGATGAGTAAATTTTCAGCTAATTGAAATTTCTGTATGAACGGTTTTAAAAGGAGTAAAATAGCAATGAACCTGACACTGTAACTCCGTATGTGTTTGCTTCCTCAATACTCGTTGCCATAGTCAGGATGTCGGACACTTCATTTGTGGAAACATTTTCCCCTTTCCACCTGAGATTAAGAGGACCATGCATTTAAGATTGGGCTATTTGATTGTAATGTTAAAGCTGTAACTTCTGCTTTAAAGTAGAGCAATAGGGCTGGCCAATTCCAAAAGGTTTGGAATCAACTTCGATTCTGATTCCTGGTTCTGGAATTGACTCTGGAATCAATGTGGTTTTCAAATCGTTTATTTATTTATTTGTAACATTAGAGTTACATGTTCACTAAATCTTGCTCTGGCTACATGATAAACTGTAATGGCTTACATCCTTATTGTATTCATCCTAATATTCACTGATTATTAGACACCTAGAACAAATGTGTTTGTGCATCAGTGTCTGTATTGCATGTTTTATTTCATTGTAGGAGACCGAATTGAATTGGACTTCTCATCAGTATAGTGAGCAACTGAGAGGCATATTAATGATTAGCTCTGTTGAACTATTGGAGAGGAGTCAAATCCCTTTGATGGAATCAATTCCAACCTTTGGAATTTAAATGCAATGCAACCTTTCCCAATGCCTTAAAATTGATTATTTTTGGAATCGATTCCCAGCCTTATAGAACAACAATTTTAATGGCATTTTTTCACCTAAAAGTGTCGCCCACCCGATCCTGGAAGTAGATGAAGTTTTCGTGGTCTGTCCTGAACAGATCTCCAGAGTTGAAGTAAACATCGCCCTTCTCAAACACACTGTAGAGTTTCTTCTTCTCGGTCTGTTTGGGATCCCTGGCATATCCAGCAAATTGGGCCTTCTGGGTAATCTTTGATACTAGTAGGCCTGTCTCACCTGTATAACAGTCAATGACACATTAATGACATTCTTCAAAGTAAAAAGCAAACAATTTTGCTTTATTAATCTATGTTATGCATACAAACATTTTACTTGCCTTCAGCTACTTCTATGCAAAATCCATCTGCGTTTCTCACAGGCTCCTCTCGTTCTTGGTCAAACTTAACCAATGCATATGGATAGAGTTTCTGAAACAATATTCAGAAATGTTCAGACAATTTCAAGATTTTAGAACAGCTCTCATTTCTCTACTTCTGATTTCTCTAACTTGATGAATTCCGAGTAAAAGAGTAAAGACCACATTCAGAATAAATCTACCTTATGAAAAAAATTCACTCTACCAATGGCCCCGATTTTCCCAGAGTAGTTCAAAAAGCCCAAGGTTCCTTCAGTTGAGCCGTAAAACTCTTTGATGTCAACACTGCCGAATCTGCTTATGAACGTCCTCCACACCTCTGGTCTGATCCCGTTCCCTAGGGCCATTCTAACGTTGTGTACTTGGTCGCTAACACGCTTGTAAGCGTGTACGAGAGAACAAAGATGAGAAAACAGCCTAATATGTACGGCAAACAGAGCAGTGCAGACAATGGAGTGGAGAGTGGGGTAGAATGTGTCACCAACAAAACTGTGCATTCATATACAGCTGTCTGTGATTGAGAAGATTATATAAGAATGCATTACAACAACAACAAAAAGTTAATTTTGTCACGTTTTTGTCATGTCACAGTTCTCAAAAACGTACCTGTGTGCCAGATGCCTCAGGTAAATTGTCATAGAAGTGACAGTCTTTATTGCATCCAAATGTCGTTGTTTAGCCCAATAAAGGATCTTTATTCTTTTCTCTCATGAATTTAACATGAAAAAATATACTACAATAAAATATTTAAAATCATATAAACAACTAATTTGAGTTCATATTTTTATTTGATGTAAACTGTTCACATATTCCAGGTGATAATGATTTAACATACACTACTGTTAACTTTTTCTTTACTCCATGGCCAGAGGGCAACTTCAAAAGATTGGCTCAGCTTACCCCACATCAGAGGGCAACCAACACAACCTTCTTTTCAATGTACAGTAGATGACATAAAATAAAATAAAAATAATAATAAAAGACAAAGATTTGGTGGTTTGCTGTTTGGCTTCTTAAAATGTTCAAATACCTTTGGTGTATTGCAGAGGTAGCGCATTGTTTCTCCAATATACTGTATCACAGTCACATTATATTTTCTGCAGTCATCCCAGAACTGAGAGGAAGAAAACTTGCTCTTCAGGACAACAGTGGCTCCTGAATACAAAACAAACCAAAGCATAAAACAAAAGGGAAAAAGCCCAAACCCATGAAAGCATGTACACATGCATACAAAAAAAATCAACATCCAGGAAAGCACGTACACAAAAAAGCAAAGCAAAACAAAATGAAAGTCAGCATCCATGAAAGCACATGCAAAACAAATCAACATTTATGAAAGCACGCGCACACACACACACACAAACAAATCAACATCCAGGAAAGCACGTACACAAAAAAGTAAAGCAAAACAAAACGAAAAGTCAGCATCCATGAAAGCACGTACACACAAAATAAAGCAAAGCAAAACAAAATCAACATCCATTAAAGCATGTACAAATACACTAGTGCTGTCAAACGATTAATCGCATCCAAAATAAAAGTTTGTTTACATAATATGAGTGTGTACTGTGTATATTTATTATGTATATATATCAATACAAACACATGCATGTATATATATATATTTTTTAAGTTTTGTTTAAATATATATATATATATAAATATATATACACATGTAAATATTTTCAAAATATATACTGTATGTGTGTGTATTTATATATATATATATATATATATACATAATAAATATACACAGCACACATACATATATTATGTAAACAAAAACTTTTATTTTGGTAGCGATTAATCATTTGACAGCACTAAAATACACAAAACAAAACATTTTTTGGGGGGGATTACCAACACAAAATACAAAAGAAAAAAAATCTCACACCTCTTTCAATAGCACCGCCGAATCCAATAGCAAAGCCGGCACTGTGATACAAGGGAAGGCAGATGTACACCACATCATCAGACTTCACACCACAAATGGAAAAAAAGGAGGCAATGGCCCACAACCTCAGCTGAGCAATCACTGCTGCCTTAGGAAGACCTGCAGGGGACACGGCTCATGAAACCCACGGCTTCACTCGTTTATTAATTACAGATGTGTCATTCTGCTGACACTTCTATTTATTCTCTCTAGTGCAAAATCATCTTCAGTCAAAAATAGAGTACAATAATGCATCAGTCACTGAATTCTATCCTACCTGTCGTGCCTGACGTGTAGATGTACGCCGCTGGGCTGCTCAATGTGATGTTGGCCCTCAGGTCTGCAGGAATAAGCTCATCTGAGGCCTGCGCGATCTTGTCTGTAAGACTCTTCATTCCCTCAGTGGTCACATGGTCAGTCAGTATATAGACCGAGATTCCCTGCTCTCTCAGAGCGGGCAGCACCTCCTCAACAGCATCCTGCAGTTCTACATGAGGGGTTTTCATTACATTAGGTGTGCATTACACAATTTGAATGCACAGCTTGGAGGCAAAGAATGATGGAAGCATGTATCTGCCATGGGATAAATAAAAAAGTTTATATCTCACAGTTCAGACTTTTTTATTTCAGAATTGCAAGAATAAGTCAGAATTGTGAAATACAAACTCAGTATTGCGTGATGTTAATTCACAATTGCGAGAAAAGTCTGAATTGTGAGCTATAAATTCACAACTGCGAGAAATGCAGTGAGAATTGCGAGAAACAAACGTTCAATTCGGAGATAAAAAATAGAATTGCGAGATAGATTTGAAAATAACTTGCAACTGAGTTGCCAGATGTTAACTTGCAATTGCGAGATATAAACGTGCAATTCTGAAAAAATAAAATCAAAATGAGAATTACGACAGAAGTTTTTATTTTTTATTATGTGGCGGAAAAAACAAAAAACAAAGCAAACATGCAATAAATAAATACATAAAAAAAACTGCAAGAAATAAATTGCGAGACGTAAACTTAGAACTGTAAAACAAATTAGATAAAAAGTACAAATTACTTTTATTTATTTGTTTTTTTTACCCGAAATTACGCAACTATCTGACTAAGACCCGGGTCAGACAGAACGTGTTTTTCAGGTTTTTCAGGCATAAACGGCACGTAAAACACCCACTGACAATAGAAAACAATTTAAAGAAGGGGCCTCTCACTGCAAAAAACGCGTTGTTTCTCAGAACACACTGCACTAACTTAGCCAAGAAACATATCCAGACGTTTGGGTCACTATAGTTCATTTCATCCCTGTTAATAAATGTTAATAATAGTGTGGAGACAGACAGGTCAAGGACATCACAGATACTACAAGTCAACAGCTTTACAGTGAATACAGTTACTACATCAAGCACTGACTGCATCTGACAAATAAAGCCTTGAACTGGAGAAGTCACAGTACCTGCACCAGCTATCAGCACAGTGGCCCCACAGCAGGTGAAGCAGTGCAGAAGTGATTTGGATCGGATGTTATGATTGAGAAGAGCAGCAGAACATCCGATCTTGGCCAAAGCCAACCATATCCACAAGAACATGGGCTCATTTCCTAGGAGGAGCGCAACTGTATCTCCTTCATGAAGATCTGCGTGCTTCAACAAACTCCTCGCGATCTTATTACTCCGTTTATCCGACTGCGCATACGAGTAGGTTTGATCCTGGAACCGGATGAACGCTTTGTGTGGGTTCTTCTGAACCGAATCCAAGAACCGATCCACTAAGGTATAGAAAGGTTTGGATTTGAGATATTTAGTGGTACGGTATATGGCTACTGCTATCCGACGCACGTACGTGGCCTCTTTGATAAAGTAAGGATAACGGAATCTTAATGCAAATAAAAGTAAAACAGCACTTACAATAAACCAAAACATCATGAGATCCGATTCCGTTCCGCTAAACCTACTTTCTAACAGAGCGCAGCATTTAGACATAAAGTGCAGTGTAGGCGGTGCTTCGTTTAGTGGGAATGGACACAGACTGGAGCAGATGGTTATGAAATGAAGCGAGATTGACGAATAGAAAGCATTTGAACAGTTCGCGACGCTGTAAACTACAACACTGTAAACACGTAGACAACCCTGTTAGCTTATTAGTTCTCTTTTAAAGTAATTAATAATACCATACCGTTCTAAGAAATCAAGCAGCTATCCCCTTATCCTGTGTTGATTTCCCCTCATATCTGGCAGAAAACCCTAGGAACACAAACAAATGATGTTCAGTTCAACATTGTTCAGAAATGTTCTCGCGTTTCTTGTGAGTGGAAAGACATGAGTCAATAAATGATGGCAGGATTGTCCATTTCCCCCGTAAAATGTCAACCCTGTTACTATTATGTTGTATAGTAAATGTTTGTAGAAAGTGGATGTTTGTAGTAAGTTCACAACGTGAAAGAAAACGGTTACCTTTAATACCTGCATATATATTATATATGCATTTAGCTTGAGATGTCATGTTAATAAATAGTTCATTAAAGGGGTCATATGATGCGATTTCAAGTTTTCCTTTCTCTTTGGAGTGTTACAAGCATAGAGGACCTACAATAATGTACAGTATTTGAAAAATAATGTGTTTTTTGAACATTAAAGCATATCAACATATTCTGTTACACCAAATACACAAAATAATGATCTTTAAAAAAGCATCATGTGACCCCTTTAATACTTAAATGCATTACTTACCTAATATTTCATGATACAGTATATTGTGATATAGTGCATATAGTAAAGAATCGAGACAAAGATTTGATTCCTTCTGCGTCAACCATCATTTCATTTCAATTACTCTATAAATTATATTGTGATAATAGCAACTTTTTTCAGGAAGTTAATTATTTAAAGAAAAGCTTAAAGGGTTAGTTCACCCAAAAATCGCCCTCATGTCGTTCTAAACCCGTAAGACCTCCGTTCATCTTTGGAAACACAAATGAAGATATTTTTGATGAATTCTGAGAGCTCTCTGACCCTCCCATAGACGGCAATGTAACTACCACGATCAAGGGCCAGAAACATAACAAGGAGATCAGTAAAATAATCCATGTGACATCAGGGGTTCAACCGTAATTTTACGAAGCTACGAGAATACTTTTTGTACGCAAAGAAAACTAAAATAATGACTTTATTCAACAATTTGTCTCCTCCGCGTCACCCCGGTGCCATTTTGGAGAATATCCGCTGAAAGTAAACAGCGTATGTTGTTCTGTGTCAGCTGCGTCACACCGATACGTTTTCTACGTTGTTTACGCTTTGATTTGAACGAAAACAACTTATCCGTGTCAGAGAGCTCTCAGAATTCATCAAAAATATCTTAAATTGTGTTCTGAAGATGAACGAAGGTCTTACGGGTTTGGAACAACATGAGGGTGAGTAATTAATGACAGAATTTTCATTTTTGGGTGAACTAACCCTCTAAGTATTTTTTTGTCACATTATCCTATGTATGTTTTTCAAGGTAACAAACTTACTAAGAAATACTTAAGACTCTTTTGCAGTGTAATTGCTACACATTACATATACTTACTATATTAATAACAGTAAATTATGCACATTTACAAGCAACTAATCGTAAAACCAAACCCTAACTCTATAGTAAGTACATGTTAATTAATATTAGTCAATACTTATGAGTAATTACACCGTAACATGACTTAATTTCTTCCTGGGAAAACAAAAATATTAGACAGAATATTACAAGTTTAGAACCACATGAGTGAATAAACTATGACCCCAGTTGCCCAATTTCCCTTCAAAAAGTCAACCATTTACCATGGATTTTGTTTACTGAAAAAGTAAACAAAAAAAAAAAACTAGCATTAATTTTGTGTACTGTAGTTTTAAAACATGTCTATTTCAACCCTGTTACCTTTATCCCAGCCTATATGTATCAATTTAGCTTAAATGTCATGATGTTAATGGAATAGAATGTTAATGTTAATAGAATTTATATATACTTAAAACATAATTTTCCTGATATTTCATGTGATTTATAGTACAGTGTACATATCAGTGTATATCTGATAGATACACTATTTGTCTTATACTTAAATTTTTACAAAAATGCGTTATTAAAAAACTAACCAAATCATCTAACCAAAAAAGTTCACTAACCATTTCATAGAATGACCCAGGTGATGTATAACAATAATCTTTGACCTCATCTTATCTGCCAGTGGACTTTGATTGGAGGCACAGACACAGCCTGAGGAATATAACACATCCTTAAGGATAAACTGCAGTCAGGTGTCTGGAATGTAAGATAATGATAAACTGTCACTTTGTTCTTTGTGTTTTATGCAGCATGTGAAAAATTATGATGGTGAAAAATTATGATGGTGAGGTTTGCTTATTCAGTATGGTAGCCTAAATATCTTGTGTGAAAGCAGATAACAGAAAAACAGTTGAATTAATGTAAAACTAGGATGCTTTATTAAGTTAAGAGGTAACAAATTCATGCACAGACAGTACAACTGCTAAGACGTTTGGCTCAAACAAGTACAAAAAAAATAATAATTGCACAAGCTTAACTCTTTTATATACAAAAATGTGTTTGCTCAGGTCACAAACCAATCCAAACTTCATTTCTGAAGCAGTGCCAATGGGCTGTCGAACCCACTGTCCTGCTGACGCACTTTCAACTCTGAAAATAAGCTCTTTGGACACTTTTTCCAGACACCATGTCCCTCAGATCCAGGGACTGGCTCTCTGTGTTTGTTTGTTCTCCTGTCCGCACACACATTGGGTTTAGAGTAAGACAGAGGCTGAACGAACTCCTTGTATATCGTAACATCAGAGTTCTCGCCGATGGAGCTTCCAAAGTCCAAACCGCCGTTAACTGAGAACGGCTTTCCAGGCTCTGGATAGGAGGAGGTCAGGTGAATGTTGCTGATGAAGTTGGATCCATTACTGGTTAAACTCCAGTCACTGTGTCCGTCATCCCGAACGGGAGCTTCTTCGATCAGGAAGGACTGGATGGATGATGGATCCGTTTTACCGGACTCAAAACCCCCCATGAACACTTCCCTGCTTTGTTTTCTCAGTGTGACATTAGGGGTCCTGACAACACTGTTAAAAACTTTATTGTGTGCAAAGTGTGTGTGCTTCTGAGTTACCTGAGCAACCGTAAAAGTGTCTTTAGAACCACATACCACTGCAGACCTGAGAGAATCTGGTTCGAGGGCTTTAGGTTTGATGCCTTTCTGTTTAGCCATCATGGATGTATAGTTGGTGTCCATTAGATTGTGGATCTGATGGATCTGTTTGTCCTTACCATCCTTGAGGGCTTCAGCTCCCAGCACTTTAGCAGGAGAACAGCTGGTTTCAATGTCCGTTTCATCTGATCCACCTAAGCAAAAAACAATTTTCCCAGATTAAAGTGCTGTATCATGCTACAAATGAAGACTTGACTGAGTTGAGGTTTTACCTTGAGAGTCCTGGGTTCTCGAAAGCTTGCGTTTGGCCACCGGGGTCTCGAGGACTTTGGCCATGGCGGCCAGTTTGCTAGCAGCATTTATGATTTTCTTCTCAGCTCTGGAGACAGAACAAGAGCATAATGAAGACCTAACCATAAAAACAGAGAGAAGATCATTTGTGGTTCCTCATACCCTGCGGCCTGGCCTCCGTCCTCCAGCAGCTCCTGCAGGCAGGTGAGGTAGCACCTGCGCATGCGTCTGGCTGTGTCCTGTCTTTCCCTCAGGACCTCAGTCCTGATCAGCTCTGCCGCCCGTTCCTTACTCTCCTGCAGGTAACGCAGCATGTCACCTACAAACACATCAACAAATCTGAAGTTCAATATTTTTTATTTTACTTCATTTCAGTCAACTTTGATTTCAAGTAACATTTGTTTGATGATTTTAGGTTTTATAAAAAAAACACCACCACTCACCTCTGATTTTCTCCACGGCTTTCATGTATTGCTCGTTCATTTCCTCAAGACCTGCTTGAAGATTCTGCTGGCTGACTGAACCGCTGAAACATTGATGAAGACCGTTAGTGTTGCTCTAAGACCCGCTGCACTCGTAGTCAATGACGTGCTCTTATGAAAGAAATCAAACAAACTTGAAGTGTTTACAAACCCTGAAAGTGCATCTGCATTTGAGGTTTGTTTCAGTTCCTCAAGGCCTTTGAGATGACCCTGCTGCTCCTTCTGCAGGGCTGCCTCGTGCTCATCTGATTCGACATTAAAAACAAAGATTAGAAATTTCTGTTCCACATGGTTTGCTTCTTACAGGGGTCCATTTTGTGCTAACCGATAATAATGTGATACTAAACTGATAATCAAATAAATCAATTAATGAACTGAGAAATCAAATCCAATAAAAAAAATTAATTATTCAGAATTTTTTTTTTTTTAAACATGTAGATAGCATTCAAGCTTGTTTCTGCCACTGAATAAAAAATAAATAAAAAAAGGTAATTGTGGCTTTTTATCTCACAACTTTTTCCTCAGAAATGCGTGATATAAAGATGTTTTTTTTTTCCTGAATAACGGATTTTTCAGTTCAGATTATATCTCACTTAACACACAATTCTGAAAAAAAAGTCGCAATTACGTTTTTAGTGGTGGAAACGGGCTTCTATAAGATCAATACAATAATCAAATACGTTTACTTTGGTTAAAAAAATAAATCATAAAACAAACGAATAAAAATAAATTTCATTTTAGCAACAGGTAATAACAATGGTGATAAAATGGTTTAAAAAATTAATAAATAAAATAGTATTGATACATTTTTCCCATTTATTGATACAGACAGTAGAGAGAAAACTGGAAATGATTGTGGGAAAAGACCAGTGCTGTTTTCATCAACTATTATTATTATTATTAAAATACAACATAAATATTAAAAACAAAACAAATGTAAAAAACCTAACCGAAAATTAGTAATGTTGCCTTGGCAACATTAAAACTAAAGCTAAATTAAAGCAACATAAAAACTAATAAAAATGACAAAAGTACATAACAAAATGACTAAAAACTAAAATGAAAACTGAAAAATACAAAAATTAAGAATTTCTTTATAGTCTTAAAGGGTTAGTTCACCCAAAAATAAAAATTAGCCCATGATTTACTCACCCTCAAGTCATCCTAGGTGTATATGACTTTCTTCTTTCAGATGAATCCAGTCTGAGTTATATTAAAAATTATCTTTGATCTTCCGAGCTGTTTAATGGCAGTCAGCGGGTGTTGCAGTGCATCAGTCCAAAAGAAGTGAAATAAAGCACATCCATCCATAATAAAAAGTGCCTCACATGGCTCCGGGGGGTGAACAAAGGCCTTCTGTAGCGAATCGATGCGTTTTTGTAAGAAAAATATCCATATTCAAAACGTAATAATCACTTTAATCTAGCTTGCGCCAACAGTTGTACACAGAAGCAGCTCCGGGCGGATGACGTATGAGTTCAGCGTTGTGCATGCGCCGGTAAGTCTCATGAAAACCAACGTTTGTTTACAGGAGCAAAGTTTCCTTACTTTAGCAAAGGAAAATCAGTCTCCTCTTGGCTTATATCGAAATCCTCCGACATTCTTCTTTACAAATCCTCGTTTTGTACTTCTAATTCGTGACCGTTGTTTTGTTTTGAGCTCTCCCCTGCGTTTCCGCGTTCGTCACTTCTGAGCAGCGCATGCGCAAAGCTGACCTCATACGTCATCCACCCGGAGCTGCTTCCGTTTACAACAGTGAGCACAAGCTAGATTAAATTGATTATTACATTTTAAATATGGTTATTTTTCTTACAAAAAAGCATCGATTCGCTACAGGACGCCTTTGTTCACCCTCCGCAGCCGTGTGAGGCACTTTTTATTATGGATGTATGCGCTTTATTTCACCTCTTTTGGACTGATGCACTGCAACACCCGCTGACTGCCATTAAACAGCTCGGAAGATCAAAGACCATTTTTAATATAACTCCGACTGGATTCGTCTGAAAGAAGAAAGTCATATACACCTAGGATGACTTGAGGGTGAGTAATTTATGGGCTAATTTTCATTCTTGGGTGAACTAACCCTTTAACAGATTTCACACTGCAGACGGCTCTGAATAATAAGCAGCACCTTTTATCTTCTGCAGGGTGTTTTTGTGCTCTCGTACGGTCCTCTGGAGCTGCCGGCAGGCCTTTTCTAGATGTCTCTGGAGATCTTGATTCTTCTTCTGGAGTTTGGCCACAGACTCAGCGCATTCACTCTGCTTCCTCTGGGCCGTCAGACCTGCTGCAGGGTGAGGAGGTGTAAGGAGGGAAGAGGTGCTGATTCAGCAGTGTGTGAGGTGTGCGTGATGTGGGTCTTACCGAGCTCTGCCTCATGGCGCCCCTGGGCTTCCTTCAGCACACGTCTCAGCTTGTCTTCGCTGCTCTGGAGTGTGAGAGAAAGAAAATATTTGGGGTGTTTCTCTGGGTGGAGATTGATGATGATCTAGAGACTATAAATATGAAGATTTATATGATATGAATATTTTGAGTAATAAAGAAGGGGCAGTTGTGCTCATTACAGTGACAGGGCATGTCAGTAGATTTTCAGTTTGTCTCAGGAAGCAGACACGCACCTTCTTCCACTCCTGCTTAGCTTGGTTGACGGTTTGACTGAGTGATTCTCTGCAGATCTCCCAAACTCTGGATCTAATGGTTCCTGGTGCACTGCTGAGCTTCTGTTCTTCTCCACTCTCTCTCCTCTCCACTCCCTCCTGCAGCACCTCCTCTAGATCACGGAGCACCTCCTCCAGCACCCGCTGCTTCTCCTCCTGCAGTCTGCAAAACAGCAGTGCTCCTTTAAAACACCACATCTGATACAGCATACATTCATAAACTCATGTTTAGAAGATTTGTGTTCAGGAGTCAAGAGGTTTTATCCCTTTTATGCTCCAAGACTTTGCTTCTATTGATTAAAATGTTATTATTTATGTAAAATGACAGTAACCGTTTACACTCGTGTACTTCACTATACATCTATAGTATCTATAGTATTAAAAATGTATTTACATAAAGCGCCACAAAGCATGAAAGTGAATATTAAATGTTGCTGATCATTGTATTACAAATGTTTTATAAATCTAATATCTAAATAAATAAAAATAAACAAATAAACAAATAAATAAATAAATGAACAAATAAATAAACTCAATAAATGAATCCCCAATTAGACAGGGAGACTCTCTGAGTCAACTATATAAAAAAAATAATATATAAACAATAATTAAATTAAAAACAATATTTAATACAATCAAAGATAAATAATGATGAAATAACAGAAAATTTTATTAAAGATATTAGTGCATACTGCATATCAGACAGACAGACAGATAGATGGTTTTAGTGTGTTACTATGCAGATGCTAGGGATTTTTGTTGATTATTGGCTCACGTCAAAAGGGCCCTGCATAAAGCAAATTCTGTTCTAGCTTGCCTTAGCAAACCCTCCTAATTATGGTGATTATTATGAACCTGATCTCTTGTTGATCTCTCCACTCCTGCTCCTTTTGTCTGAGAGTTTTCTGTAGCTCTGTGTCTCTTTGTTTGTCAGTTTGCTTCAGGTTCTGCTCCAAGATGGCTTGTAGTTTCTGCTTCTGCTCTCTCTGGAGCAGCGCCCTGAGGCAGGACATCTCCTCCTGCTTGTCTCTGATCCAAACGTCTCGGGCCGCAGCCAGCTCTGCTTTCACAAGGGCAGCCTGCTCCTGACACGCACGCTCCAGTCGGGTGCTGAGGGTAAGCACTTCCTCCTGGAGCTCACTGTTTCTCCTGTTACATTGCTCCAGTTCAGCGCATTTGGTGCGGAGCGTGTCCTGCCACCTTTCCTCCACTGCCTTCACAGCCGAGGACACCTGGGATCAGGGTGTTGAGCAGTTCAGAAAATAAATATGAGATAAGAAATCATTTCACAATGATCACTACAACAAATACCTGTTCCTGGACATGCTGCTGTTGAAGTCGCTCCCATTCATCTTTCTCTGTCTGTAGGCTGCTTTTGTATTCTGGGAGGGAGGTCAAGTCCTGGAGCCATCGAGAACGAGCCCTCGATATCGCACCTTCAACCTAGAAAAGGCAGAAATGATTATAAACTCTGTAAAACCTGACAAATAAGATAAAAGTCTGGAATGGAAAATATATAGGAAAGAAGTCCAAAACGAAGCAAAAATACACAATTTGGTGCCGTATTTATATGGCCAAAAAGTAAGATGAAATTCTGATAGATTGTAAATCAATGAGCTCTTTATAACTGTATAGCAGACTACTTTCATAAAATGCATATAAATATCAAGTTGTCACTCTATTTCTCCTATTTGTCTTACTTCGATGACACTGAAATGCTTAGTTTTATGATCAAAGCTCTAGTTTTTATTGTGGGGCAAAAACATATAATGCAACGCAATACAATGATTGAGAGATGATCATATCTGATACTCGCAGTTTTAATAAGAATTTTCTAAATAATGATGCATGGATAATCAAGTAAACCCAAGTTGCTTCAGTCTAGTAAGTGTTCATATCATGAAATATTACTAATAATATAAAAGTTATTTTTAAGTGTATGTCATAAAATTCAGTAAATATTTCACAGCAAAAAGACAAATGAACCATAAACTGAAGGGGGACAGTTTCACAATTATAATAAAAAGGTCTTTTACTTGCTAAAAAATACCATGAATCAGATGAAAGAAGGCTTGTAGTAGAATGTGTGCAACAGGCTTTTCAGAAAAAGTTTAATCGTGTTGATCATTTTGAAATTGTATTTGCAATTATCATACAGTAAGTTTATAGTAGTGATGCACTGAAATTTTAAAATTTTTCATCCAAAACAGCAATTTCTGGTTTCCATCAAAATAGTTTTGAAGGGCCGAAATCATTGACCAAAACAGTGATGTTACCATTGTGGAAAGACGTCAATCAATAAAACCGCTTGTAAACAATAATGTCACATTTACTGTACCTCTGGGAAGGCATTCAATGTCCATAAACTAGATCAGAGAGGAGCATTTTTCTAAATATATGAACTATATTAAATATACCTTATATGTTTACTGATCCTGTTGTCTTCATTATTTAATGCATGTTTGAATAAATTAGTTTTCCCAATAAGGGCTGTAAATCAGTCACACCTGGAGTGTGGTGTCATCAGTGTGTTTCTGCTGCATCTCTCTCTGAGCGTCTCGTACTGCTTCCTCCACGGCTCTGGCCTGGGCGGTCGCAGCCTCCTGCTGCAGGGTCTCCCTCTGAGCGCTGAGCCGGACCTCCAGCTCCTCCACTGAAATCAGCTGGCACGCTCCCTCACGGGTGTCTGACTGCCTAGCCTTCCTGACCTCTTCCTCAACCTCCTGTAACCTCTGAGCCCAGGACTGCTCCAACTAGCACAAAGACCGACAAACAAGAAAGACAAATCAAAGACATGCACACAGACAAAAATATAGACAAAAAAAAGAACAAACAGACAGATAAACAGATGAAACAAAAATACAGGCAAAAGCTATGCAGACACACAGAGATAAAATTTATAAAAGGCAAAATATAAGAGCATTTGACCTACAGCTGAATGGCACAACAGTGACATTTAGTAAGATCATGCTGGCTTGGCACTGAGTAGAAAGATCATTGATGTAATTGGCCCATCATCACTAACCGTCTCCTGCTCCTGCTGCCAGCTCTTCCTGGCCGTTTCCAGCTGCTCTCTGACCCGCAGCTCAATCTCAGCCTGCGTATCTGTCTTCCACTGGGCTTTGAGCCGAGACACGTCCTCCTGATGCTGATGCTTCAGATCAGACCTCAGTCTCTCCAGAGCAGCCTCACTCTCCTCTCGCCTCTTTAACTGAAGCAACAAGAAACATGATCAAATGTTAACAGTCTCACACGGTCAGACTTTTGACTCTCAGAAGAAAACTTGTTCCCCTAAATAGACCGTAATAATAACAACAACAACAACAATAATAATAAATATTAATGAATTAATAAAAATCTAATAAATATTCACAAAAATCCAATAATAAAAACTAATTTTAATCACTGATCAAATAAATATTTAAATAAAGATAAATTAATTTTAAAAAACAAATAAATAAAAATAAACAAAATCAATAAATGAATCCCCAATTAGACAGTGAGACTCTCTGAGCCAACAATATAAAAAAAATAAAAAATAAAAACAATATTTAAATTAAAACCAAATAAATAATAAATTAAACAAATAAATAAAACTGCATTAAATGAATTAATATTTTAAATATGAAATAAATAAATAATTAAGTACATAATTAAATCGATCAACCAACAAATCAATCAATAAATTCATTAACTTATTTATTCAGCATCTTGCGCTTACCTCATTTTCTTTCAATCTCCTCTGTTCTTCAAGCTTGTTTTGGAGATTTTCCTCCAGCTTGTCCTTCTCTTTGCAAACAGAAATGTAGCATTCCTGCACAGCTAACACCTCTTGACTGAGATCAGCCAGCTTTGACCTGTGGATAGCATACTTTATGAAGATTATGATCCTTCATGAAGTTTCCAATCGTTTTGTTTAAAGGTGGAGGTGTAGTGCAGTACTCGAGCTGTTGGAGGTGCTGCTGTTGCTGGCTGGAGAGTTGCTCTATGTGAGCCGTGTGCTCCTGTGCGAGCTCCTCCCGGACACGATTCACCACGTCATCCCTGAACTGCTGCTGAGTCCTCTCATCCCTGCACACAGAGCATTTTACCTATAGATATGTATAGGTAGATGCCATATTAGCAGCTGTTTCTATGAGCCGCTATACATAAGCCGTCCGCCATATTGGAATGGTCAAAGCCTGTACGTCTGCCACCCGATGGATGTGCTTGTATGAATATCTATATCTGGAGTAGACTTCATCCGATGATGCTAAACTAACACAATACAACAAGACAAAGCCGTTAGCTACAACAACATTTAAAAGGTCCTATAGTTTAAAAACCTGTAATATTGAGTTAATACACATTAAAGACACAAACAAACACGTTCTTATCAGTGAAAGTTGATCAATTTCTTCAGGAATTTAAATTTCTGCAGTTTTTATAACCAGAGGCTGCGCAATGTTGTGCAATCTTGATTTTTATTGTGAGTGACGACACATTGACCTTTCCAAGATGGCCGACACGTTGATGTGTCTGGAGCGGTCGAATGTGGCATTTACCCATAAATATCTATGATTTTACTTATGAAACACCACAGAAGGTGCACCAGAGTGGAATCAACTATCACTTTAGCAAAATGCATGAACATGTGACCTCTCTGCTGCTTCCTGTTTCTCCTGGTCCAGCTCCTGGATCATCTCTCTCATCTTGGTGCAGAGCTCAGAGTTGGCAGCCTTCACCTTCTCTTCACTCTGCTTCAGCTCCTGATTCCTCTTCTCCAGAGCCTGCGGTTCACAATAGGGATGGTCAACTAGTATCCAACAACTAGCTAATTGAATAGTAACTTCTTAAGTGTTATTTTAGTATTATATACTATTACAGTCTTTATTAATCTTTAGAATTAGCTTTTGTTTTTAATTTGATTATGTGCTTTTGTCATTTTTATTAGTTGAACATTTATAGTTTATTTATAACTTTTTTAATTTCAGGTTTAGTTTTAATATTACTTCACCTTAAACAAAAATTAAAAATGCTGTTTTGAAAACTACCTGAAATCAAATAAGTTTGTCGTCTAATATTTTTGTTTTGTTTTATTTAAGCTTTATTTCAATTAACAATTTTTTTTTTTAACATGACACTGGTCTTTTATATGTTTAGAGATTTTTTTTTTCTAAATAATAGATTTTTATTCCATTTGATTTATTAGTTAATTTAATTGCTTTATTGTTGATTTACTTGATTATCAATTTTTAATCATTAATATTTTTTATACATTATTGTTTAGCATTAATTTAATCTTATTTCAGATTTAGTATATTTTTTAACTTCAACTTAAGCTTATTTTATTTCAGTTAGTTGCCAAGGCAACATTTCTAATTTTAAAATTTTTTTTTTATTATTATTTCTATTATTTATTTTAGATTATTTCAGCTTTATTCCAATTAATGAAAATTATTTTTAATAGTTTTATTTTTAGTTAACAAAAACAACACTGATCAAGACACAACAGTCCTCTAACTTTGTGACTGTGAAGCTGCACTGACCTCCACTCTCTCCTGCAGCACCTGCCGCTCCTCCTGCAGTCTGATGAGGTCTTTGTGAGGGGCGGCAGTCATGTGGGATGTTTCCAGGTGTTTCTCCAAGCTGCTCTCCCTCACCTGTAGTAAACGCACAAGGTGTAAGTCTAACATCTACTACAGCACACAGGTTGATCCATCATAGGGTTGGGAATCGTTAAAATTCTTTCGATATCGATACCTTGACTTCGATACCGGTTCCTTAACGATACTTTTTTCGATAATGATAATGAAATCAATTTTAACAAGATTACATTATCTTAAAAAAAAAAAAAAACTTTGCTTTTATTTTTCAGCTTGTTGATGTTTATACAAACTCAAAGACTCATCTCCTGAGCCACTGCACAAAGGAACAAAATGTAACCAACACAATAAATCAGTGCAAATAGTTTTAATAAAGCTCAAATAGTCTTCAGTTTACACATCTGTTAGGCTACATTTACACTAGTTAGTGTTCGTTTTAAAACACGTAGCTCAGACAGAATCATGATTTCTATTCATTTTCCATTGATTTACTGATGAGCATTAGCAGCTTCCAGCGCTGTCTGCCTGTGTTCTCTCATCCATGATCGCTGCTCTGACTCAGAGGTAATAACATTTAATTTCAGCAACATTAACGTTACATGGCCAAAACACACATTGGAAGGCAAACACTCGATGGTGGTTTAAAGTGAGTTTTGAGTAAAAGCAGAATATAAATATTATTTATTGTCTTATGTAGCATGATGCTACAGTTTGCATGAATGGTCACATAACACGCGCTTTCGGTCGTGTAACGTTAGTATGAACGGACATCTGCATATGATCGGAACTCCACGCAGCTCCTGCGCTACTCTCCATTGGGAATGAATGACTGGTCTGTCGCTTGTCATTTGTCGGAGATAGTGGAAAGCCGGCTTGAAACGCAGTGGAAACGCCAGTATGACGAGGATCGTTTTCATTTTAAAACATAAACACACCAGTGTAAATGTAGCCATACTTCTAAGGGGGCTGGGACGCATTCACACTACAGCCTCACGTGTGCGCCACATCTCTGAGTGTAACCGGTGTTAACTAGTAGGTGTGTTTGACTTGATGCGGACCGACTGTGCAGACCGATCTGTGTATACAGTACCATGAGAGCTAAAGAGAGCAGACTGCTCCGTGCGCTTTCGAATCGCTCTCGCGGATGATCGACCTGCACCGCACCTCTTCTAGTCGAACACACCGGCTAGTCACTGATGAGATTAACACTTTAGGTATCGAAATTTGGTACCGAACGACGAGACGTTTTTCGATACTCTATGGTATCGAGGCAATTCGGTCGATGACTAAAAAGTATCGAACTCGATACCCAGCCCTATCCATCAAGCACTGATTTGCTGTAGGTCAGACCTTAGAGTCTCGTACAGTTCTCTCAGCCTGCTCTAGCTGCGTCTGCAGCTGCTCTGCTCCGGTCTGAGAGCGTCGCAGCTCTTCCTGCAGCTCAGAGATCTTCAGACGCTTGGTCTTCAGGTGACTCAGGCAGCGCTGCAACTCGCTCTTCAGCTCTCGCACCACATCCTCCTTCAGCAGGGTCGAGTCTCCTGTTTCTGCAATATGAAGTGTGCTGGAAAATAAAGTAATTATGAGAAGCTTGACATTATGAACAATATAGCAATGCAGTTTTTGGATTGTTATTGTACAATATAACATTACCTGTGGATTCGTCCATTTTTCCACTTGGACTTCTTGATCCTCAGGTCCACGTAGGACTCAGACAGCTGGTTCTCCCGGTCTCCATTAGACTCCAGGGCTCCATGTTTAATGGCAGACTCATACAGATTTATCTGCTCCTTTAGTTCAGTCATCTCTTCCTGATGAGAGAAGAAACACACGTGCTCTGTTTGTAGCCTGATTATGGACAGCTTTAATGTTTGCCATGACTGGAAATGCTGTCAAACATTAGTGGACTGACTGACCTGCAGGGCTTTGTTGATGTCTTCACTGATAGAGCGGGCAGACTGAGCCTGCTGGAGCTTCATCTGTAACTGACTCATCTCTTGAACAGAGCCTGCAGAGAATAAAAGAAGCTTTCATAAAGATGTAACAGGCATGAGGGAGACAAATCTTCAATTAATTCATTAAAGGGGACATTGAAAACATTAAATAAGTTGACTTTTTGCTGCATGAACTACAACCTCGTATATTGACATATATTGATAATGGTACAAAAAGTACCATTAGTAAATAAAAAAAAAAAATAGATACTACAGTTACTGTTCATTTTTATATTTCACTATAATATGTCTAATTTAAAAATATAAAAATTACAATAAAATATTATCCTTGATTTTTATTAAACAACAACAAAATATTTCAAATATTTCACATTTTTAAGGGGAAAGTAAGAGGTAAAAATAATAAATAAAAAATTAGATAAAATTCTTATTTCCATATTTTTATCATTTTAAAATGCACAAAAAACAACTGTAATAGAATATCTTGTGTTTTGCCCGCCATATACCTGTCTGCCTTTGTTTGACCCTGCCTGCTTTATGACCACGTCTCTGTCTTCTACAAAATAAAAGCTTTGCGAATGGATCCACACGTCTCACGTCTCGTCAGCTCCGTAACAGAATACTCGGCCACACAAGGATCCAGCGGCTTTTCAGGTGGACATTGGCCAGGTATGGACACTGCGAGACTGTTGTTAACCCTCGAGCAGGGTTGGCGAGTGCTCGAGGATTACGTACAGGAGTATTTGGATCTTGCGTATTATTCTGATCTGCCATCATGGGGCAAATCAAGTCACAGTTTATGATCATGAGTCTAGTTGAGTCACAGTTGATAGTAATGAGTCTAGTCAAATCACAGCTGATCGTCAGGAGTCAAGTCAAGTCACAATTGATCTTCCTGAGTCGAGTCTAGTCACAGTTGATCGTCCTGAGTCAAATCGATTCACAGTTTATTCTCATGAGTCTGGTCAAGTCACAGCTGATATTCATGAGTCTAGTCAAGTCACAACTAATCGTCATGAGGCAAGTCAGGTCACAGTTGATCTTCCTGAGTCGAGTTTAGTCATAGTTGATCATAATGAGTCAAGTCAAGTTACAGTTCATTATCATGAGACAAGTCAAGTCACAACTGATCTTCATGAGTCCAGTCAAGTCTCAGCTATTCATCCAGAATTCACGAGCATCACAGCTGTTCATCCAGAG